TCTTTTTTTGTTATCAAGTGATGGAAAAACACAGCACTCAGATCCTCCAGTCTGTAGCCACACAAGTCAATATGCAAATAGAGAAGTTCTCCCAAGACGAAAGTAGACAAGGTGCTCAAGTTGTTCTCTGGAGTTTCCATTAGCTATTTTGAGAGTCTAGGTTCCACAGAAGGATGGTTAAAAGTCCCATCGCACAAATGTACTGTCCTACGTATTGTTTTAAATTGCAAAAAATTTTATAACATGTTGGATGAATTCAGAGACATAACAGAAACTACAGCATAGTATTTAAATATCTGTACCAACAAGTACTACATATACAAATTTTAGCACCCTTATAAAGCAGAACAAGGAGATCATCTGTTTCCTTGTTTTATTGTGCAGCTTTAAGTATTTTATCACGTTTTGTCCTTTGAAGAAGCCATCTGTTACATTTATTTATCAAGATTAACTTCAATTATTAAAATCAGAGATTCTGTCTCACTAGTCCAAGAGCACGCCCTGGAAATGAACAGGTATGGGTCAATCTCAGTTTTCACCATAACACAGTTCACCAAACCCCAATGTAATCAATTAAAATAAAGCTGTTTTGCATATCGCTCTGCTTGGCTCCTGTTTTCAAATGAAATTAATCTGCATCAATACTGAAATGTTTTGCGCCTTGTACTTATTCATTTCTTGTAAGACTTTCCTCTACTTCATTTATAGCATTCCCCTCTGCTTTTCTTTCCTACAGTATAAAAGACAATGCAACTGATAAAGTAACTGGACAGACACCTTTGCTATTTTTACCGTCTTCCTGCCTTCCTAGATGCTTCCTACCATTAGTAACTTCAGAGCATTCCTGTTTCATAGGAAGTGTGGTCGATAAGTCAGATGGCACTCAAGACAAAACAAGTGTCCCTCAACGTTCTATGGTTCTACGGTAAAGCAGTTCTACATAACCAGGTCTGTAGCTTCACCTACTAAGAGATACAGAGTAATGACAACTGGCTTTCTCTTGGATCTCTCTCCTAAGTGACATTTTAATCATTACAAGAACCAGAAGTGTATTTAATAAATTGCCTTGTTCTACCAGAGTATGAAGCAATTCTAGCAGATGCCTTAGGAATTAATGCAAAATTTGATTGAAATTATTTAATTGTGCCTCTGTTAACAACAATCACTGGAAAATTGTGCATTGTGATAAAATGTTCTCCAGTGTCTTTTCAACCAAGATATTTCAATAAAACATCCTTTTAATCCTGGTTTGTTTAATAAAAGAAATAAGACACTTCTCGGTTTATTACACCACACCAGTGTGCAATTCCTTTTTATGAAACAGGAGCAGTAAATAACTTGAGAACAAAAATGGAACAATCACATCTCCCAGCCTCCAACGATACAAAATATATGGAACTGAATTATATGCAGCACACATTTTACAAAGGATGTTGACCCAGTTCCAAGTTAGCAAAACATGACCATAAAAAAGATGTCTGAAACTTAATTAGTGTGTTTGAGCCTTTTCAATCCTGAAACCTACTACTTGCCGTAAGTTCCTCAGTCTAAGAGCACAGAGACACTCCAGTCCACTGTAAAGAATTAACTGTTCCAAAAGGAGATTTTTTTTTATTTTTATTTTTTTAATCATAAAGGCCTAATTTACACTGAAACTTACTTTTGTTACTCACAAGGATTTAACTCACTCTGAATGAAGCTTCCAAAGATTTCTAATGTCCACATGAAATGAATAGCATCAGCTTTTCCTGCTTGCAGGCTATGGAGGTAACTCAAGAAATATGAGAGGTGATGATTTACTTGGGAAATAAGTTACTCCCTACCTCCTCCATCCGTGTATCAACTGGTTCCTTTTAGTTACATAAATAGTACCAGCTTCTCCATCCATCCATTCTCAGCTCCTATATGCACCAATAAAACTGAGAGATCAGGTAGAGATAATTTCTGTCTGATTTTACTGATTTCTTTTTCCTATGGAATAACACCTAAAAATATTCTACTGTACAGAAGTACTAACCAGTAGAAGTGTTTTGATTTCATATGGACTAAGTAAACAAGTCAAGCTTACACTAATAAAAGGTATATACCAGAAGTAAAGAGCAAGAACTGCTTGTTTTCAACATTTGGAAAAGAAAAGCTATGTGTTTGCACTCACTGATGATACATACCTCATACAACATTTATCACGTAAAAAAATAGCTTCCAAACACCACCAATCCAACCAGCAATTAAATATCAAAATAATAACACATAGCCTATAATTAAAACACACTTCTAAGAACATCGGGTAAAGAAAATTGAGTATACTCACACAGTTCATAGTCTTTATTAACTATATCTTAATGAAGACTCCTATGATAAATTCAATACTGACATTCAAATAAACTACAACCAAATGGTACATAGTCATAAATTAGCCTAGAATTAATAGTAACTGCTAAATGATGAGTTCAAGACTAAGCTGCCTGCAGTGACAGGTAACATGTTTGGCTACCTGAGAAACTAAATAGCATTTCTCTGTAATATATCAAAATAATTCCCTAAACATTCTACCACAACATCAGGACCCAAGAGAACACTTACATAAAACGGAGTAACATTTGTCTATTCATTCTGAATACAAGCTACATAAACTGCATGAAAAAAAATAGAAATTAGATTTGTTTTCTGACAGCCACTTAATCATTACCAGAAAGTTCTGGGACATCCCTTAAGCCCCAAGGAATGCCATTTCCTTACAACTTAAAGATGGTACTTTGTTACACCATCACCAGCCCCTCATGAGATGGCAGACAGCTGGGGTAGATGTGTAACACTAACTAAGAGTTATCAGAATTTTCTATTCTTTGCAGAGGCTGAGTACCAAAGTAGTCAGAAGAGACTGACCCATTTTACACAGGCACTGCTGGTCTCTGATCACTATCACGGGTAAAGTTTGGGAATCAGCTGGAGTCCCTGCCCTAAGTGATTAATTTTAAAAGATTAAAGAAGCCAATAAAGTGGCTTAACTTTGTTTGAGCAGAGCAGCACAATCCATTCAGTGTTGGTGATCTGGTAAAGACAAATAAAATTAGTCTGATACCTGTTGAGAAAGACTTGTGGATGGTGAATGCAATGGCCCAAAGCCACAAGAACTTTGGAGGTGGCAAAGGTTCCAGAGGGAAGATTCCAACACTTGGACACAGCTTTTCCCCCCTTGACTGAACTGGATACCTATGAAACTCTCAGCAAGAATCTGATAAGGTTTTACTCATACAATTCTTAACCCTCAACAATTTTGAATAGAAAAAAACTGAGCTCCCAGAGATGGGTGGAGTTCTGAAAGAAAAGTGTTTGTTAGTTGTTCAGAGAAATGCTGAGCTCAGCAACAGCTTAGGAATCTTCACATAGTTTGGCACATCAAGTCCCACTTCTGAAAGGGGGACACACTTGAAGGACTTGCATTCAAGAAGAGACATTTGATAGTCAGAGATGAAAAACAGGATCTGAACACCACTCAGACCTGAAAATATGAAAGATCTTTGAATTCTAAATTTGCCTGACTTAATTCCACACACTCCAGTCCCTTTAGGTGTGTTTAATAAGAATTCCAATATACAAGGAAACAATGGTCATCACTCTGTTTCTCAAGTGCATTAAAAGGTTATTAATCAAAACCGGAGTGCATAGGAAATATGGTCTTCAGCATGGAACTGTTACTCAGGTTTATAGTTATCTTCCTATTCAATTCCCCAAAAATACTGAAGATAATTATGCCACGAGATAATATATTTATAGCTACAAGCAGTAAGGAATGTACTCAATACTGTGCAGTGACTGTTTATTGACTGAGAAATGCTGCAGAAAAAAACAAGGCTGTATATGTAAACATACAAAAGAGAGCACAACACCAACACTAGAATGCACAACCTCTCTGTTCAGCTGTTATACCTCAGGACAGAAAGAAAAGCTGAATTGGTCAAGGATACTCAGAGCTTTCAATGTGCCTAATATGTTGAAGACAGTGTTCTGTGTCATGGTTTCCTCTACCACCAAAAGAGTCTCCCAACTTTTTCTTTTTTTAATACAAATGTATGCATCATTTTTTGCAGAGTATCTGAGCAACTGTGTTTATTCCACTTCACAGGAGTTACAGATTGACTTGCAAAGTGATAAAAAAATCCAAGTTTTCACAGCAATCTGTTCTACAATGTAGAAGTGTCTCTACTAACACTACAGTTGTTTACTTAAATATTTTCCTTTCAGAAATAGTCTTAGAATAACTTTGATAATTAAAACATTATAGCCATTTAAAATAATAGAATTCATTGGTATCTCTATCCTTCACTCAAAAATATTTCACCAAATTAAAATGTTCCAGGAATTTGACTTACTGTAACTTTTTGAACCACTTGAATGGAGATTTTTTTCCTCCTTTGGTGCTCATCTGTGTAGAGTACACATATCTCTTTACTAAGCTCATTAATGCTTTTTTTTTTTTAAAGTGCCTGTGAGGTGTGCAACTGCTACTATTTTAAAGGTGGAGCTGAGGAAGCCAAATTAGCTATAAAAAGTACCTACTGATTTTCAGTCCCTGCACAATTATCACAATTTTAGAGGGAATTCAGCATCTCAAAACTTAAAAATCATGTTAACCACATGCTCAATTTTCAGCATAATGTTAAAAAAAGACACTCTGGTGTGAAATCAAAAAATACATATCATAGTTTCACATTCTTTTCTGTGTATCCATGGAAGAAAAGAACTATTTTTACCTCCATTTATTTATTTTGCTGATTTAGTTTATTGACTGTTGCCTCCAGTAGTACTGTGGACCAAAAATGTCAAGGGAAGAAGAAGCAGTCGGAAAAAGCTTTTCAAGCCAGTACTGTTGCCAAGGAAATGTTATTTGTAACACACTTAGAAAGAAGTAGAAATATTTGCACGAAGTTTGGTTTAAACAACGTATTCAGTATTACTGAGAAATTCTGCAGCGGAAGTAAGGACAAAGTCCAACTCACCATTGTAGCTTCCACTTGCAAAACTCTCCCTTCTCTCCTGCATGCCCTATCTCATTTTGGTGAAGCAAATGAGGCAGGCACCGATAATCCCTCTTTCCTCCTGGAGAAAGCAGAAAGAAGTCAGCAAGCAAATGGCAATTTACAGCTGCTGATAATCAGCGAAATAACATGTACTTAGCAAATATATGGTTCACCTCCCTGTCCTCATCAAGGTTACTGCTATGGAGGTCTTCCATTATAGCCTCACAATGAACTGTACCCTTCTATCACTACAGAAGGAACTGCTAAAAAATATAAAAGCAAAAAAGAGTGCCCCAAACAGAGCTTCTGCAGTGACAGGTCAACTGCTGCAGCAGTTTAACATTACAATAATATGCATGGTTTTAGGAACTTACTTAGCATTCAAGCTTTACGAAGAACAGATAAAGATTAATTTTATGAATAACAATACATTGTCCAACAGCTCTGCGCTGCTACAAGCAATAGGCACACTGTTAGTTGTTAATAATTTTAGGTTTCTTTGGTTGGCTACACTTAATTGGGTGAAGAACTGAATGGAAGGCAGAGCTCAGAGTCAAAATGAACAGAGCTCATTCCAGGTGGTTGCCAGTCATCAGTGGCATTCCTCAGGTCTCAGCAGCACGGTCAGTTTTTTTATCAATTATATTGATAAGGAGATCAAATGCACCCTCGGTTCTTACAGAGACAACATGAATTTAGGCAGGGCTCTCAATCTACTCAAAGTTAGGAAGCTTTGCAGTGTAACCTGGTCTGGCTAGTCAGATGAGCTAAGTCCAGATCCATGACACTCAACCCCACACAGCCAGACAGGCTTGAGGAAGAGCGGATGGAAAACCTACCAGCAGAAAACAACCTGTGCATGCTGGCTGACAGTTGCACATGAGCCAGCACTGAGCCGAGAAAGACCAACATCATCCTGCTCTGCAACTCGAATACGATGGTTAGTAGAACTAAGGAAGCAATTGTCCTTCTGCAATAGGCACTAGAGAGAAGACACCTCAACTACTATGCTCACTTTTGGACCCTTCACCACAAGAAAGACCCAGAGCTCCTGAAACTTGTTCAGTGAAAAGCAATAAAACTGGTGAGGGGACTAGAAAACAAAACGTATGAGAAGCAGCCAAGGAAACTGAGGCTGTTTAGTCTGAAGAGGAGGCTGAGGGGAAGCCTCATCACTCTCTATAATAACCTGAAAGGATGTTGCAACAGGGGTGTCTGTCTCTCTTTTCTCAGATGACAAGCAATAGGGCTCTAGGAAACAAGTTTCAAGCTGCACTAGGGACGTTTTCCATTGGACATATACATCCCAGATGGGATGAGGGCCAAGCACTGGAAGAGGCTGCGCACAGAACTGGTAGAATCTCCACCCTAGGAAGCATTCAAGAGATGTGTAGATGTGGCACTAAGGGATGTGTGACGGGACTTGGTAGGTCAGGTTTATAGTTGGATTTTATTATTTCGAACCTAGGTGATTCTATGATTCTAATTACTGCAAATTAGAAAACAAGTGTAATTCTTGTTTTCTTTGCAAGGCCCTTATGTTCATCATTTCAAAACAACTAAATGACAAATGCTAATTTAAGGGGTGGGAGGGATGTTTACAGCTACTCAAAGAAAGTAGTCAGCTCCCTTTTCCTGTTTTTAGTATGCTTACCTATTTAGGAAGGCAGGTGGCAACTGTCCAGATGAATTTACTTCTGATTTTGAAGCTCTGGAGTATTATGTGCCTGTGAGAACAAAGAGAAAACACAGAGCATGTTTTACTGACTCCAAAAGTAACATTACAAAGAACTATTTTGCATCCATTTATATTATCCCCACTACACATCCTGACCCTGGCATTACAATCTGTGGCATTATTTCAAAGAAAGAATTTTTCTAAGTTAATACTTCTAGTAACAGCACATAGGAAAAAGCTAGTCAAAGAATCACTGCCCATGAAAGTGCTTGTTCATTTCAAGTGCCATTAAAAAGTGCTGGTTGCACTGCAGTTCAAAAATAGCCAGAAAAAAAAAACTCCCTCTAGATAGCAAAAACATGAAGAAAAAAATACTAACAAGGGATTGCGTGAAGAAAAAAAAAAAACAAAAAAAAGCAACTTCCTTGATTCCTTTGCCTCCTGCTAAAACTATCCCACCACACATCCACCAGATGGTAAGATGGGCTGGGAAAGGAAATATATTAGCCTGATGGTAACCCTATGGAATTCATGCACCAGGCAAGTAGACATAAAAACTTGTTCTTCAATACACAGGTCATAAAAAACCATAGTTGTCTCTGACTGTGAACTACAGATTTATAAAGTTGCAATTGCCATAACAAGCAATAAATCTGACCTCAGTATTCAATTCTATATTCAGTTATTAAATGAGTACACACAAAATGATACACATAAGAAAATCAAATTACACTAGATTCAAACTGAAACAATCACAACAAAGTCTTTAAGAAAAGAACACCAGGCACTTCCACTAAGTTCTTAAAGGTAATTAATGATGCCCAAATTAAATCTGTCTTATTTATATCACAACCAAGATATGAACATCTCTCCTTAATGATTCATTAAGTTTTCAGCATAGCAATATCTTGACATTGTTATAGCCTAACAAGTACCGTATGTTTTCATACCAGATTACACTATCCCAATATCAGTAACATGTGTGTGTGTGTGTGTGTGTGTATACATATATATATTACTGATAAGCTCAGATTTTCAATATACTTCCATTTAAGTTCTCCGTTGCATGTACCACTTTAAGGCAGCAGTTTGCCTCCTTGTATATAGCTCCAACTTAAGATCTGATAAATATCTCTATTATGTATATTGCTGCTTGCTTTCAGCACCTACAATGACAGCAGGAACAGTCAGAAGTCACAGAAAACTGCTTGACTGGTCAGAAGCTAGAGAAAACTGAATGGAAAATTCTCTTTTTAATTACAAGAGGATTAAAATTCTATGCCAACGCCTACTTCTTTGTCATGCATAGCAGAGACTTCCAGGCCCATGCTAGAAAACTACAAATCTTAAACTCTCCAGTTTATCAACTATCTACATTCAGATTTGAAAATAAAATAGCTAAAATCTGAACTGAATAAACAATGGATTTTATCCCTTATCTTCCCATATCTGCTTTGTGGATAGGTAGAGAAACAAGAGGCGCACACAGATCCAGAACAAAGAACATGTCTGTAGAGATGTTTTTCAAATCATTTATCTACTCCAGTGCATGAAACAAAGAGCATAGAGATCACACACACAAAAATGAACTCACTTAAAAGGTCAGGAATGTCATTTCCTGATTATTTTTTTTATGCTTTCTTGATTTGAAATTCAACGTGTTTACAGACCAATTTCAAATTTACTGCAAATCACAAAAAGAAAGTGCAATTCTAAGCGTAATAACAAAGTCACAGCTTCTGTCAAGCTACAGGACAGGCCATAGCACTACTACTGCCTCAAGTGCCTGTATCGTAGTCCTTGTTAATTATTCATGTGCATGTCTGAGCAGTGGGACTGAAGGAAAAACTCACCTCGGAATAAATCTGAGACAGTTTAGCTTAGAGAAGATAAGGCTTTCTCTGAGCCCTCCTAGCATCCATAAATACCTGAAGAAGGAGCTGAAAAGATTGTCAGGCTTTTTCAGTGGTGCCCAGTGCCAAGAGGCAAGGAGCACAAACTGAAACACAGGAAGTAATATCTTAACATCAGGAAACGCTTTTCTGACGACGGGTTACTGAGCACTGGCAGAGGTTGTCGAGAAGTTGCAGAGACTCAGCTTAGAAAGGAAGGAAGAAAAAAAAAGCAACATTCTCAACTTCTACCTGAAGTACACAAGAACATCTCCATAGTTTAGCATCCTGCATATGTTATTTGCATTTAACCAATGCAAGCTCACAGGAAAGTCATGGCAAGTACTGCTAGTCACTAACAAATGACTTAAATCTGACTAAGTGAAATGCATAGCAAAAATATAGGGGCTTCCTATCTACTTTTGTTTAACTAGATCCTACATTAACAATTCTGCAATCCAGCAGCTAGAGCCAACCGTAGTGACAGAAAGGGTACCTGCATCAGGGAGAGACTAGTGAAGGTCAGCATTCCTTTAAATGACACAATTACAGCTTTTAATTAAATACTACCACCTATGCAGATATTTGATGGCTTGTGAAAAAGCTGAAACGCAGCTGAAAGCAGAGAAGAAAAATCCTAGCAGAACTAGTTTGTACTGACTCAAGTATTACACTAAAATTCAGTAGCCTTAAAAGGCCAGGTGCCTCTTCCTTCTCTGCTGCTCCGCTTTGGGCTCCCTGGTGCCATTCTCTCCTTCCCACACACCATGATGCTTATCCAAGTTGCGTAAGGGCCACTGACTCACCAACAAAAAGCTCCCACTACGTTATTTTTTTGTACAGATGAACTTTGTGCTGGACTGAATCAACACACAGAAGTCTGCAAAAACACCACAGCCGGTACAAGGTAGACAGCAGGATGCAAGTGGGGTGAAGAATGTACTTAATTCAGCATCAGCATCCTTTGGGATTAGCTCACCTCTTTTGTAGATCCACAGCTTGAGTGTACTCAAATCCAGCTTTCTGCTGGCTGGCCCCATGCAATTGTGCTGAGTGCAGATCCCAGCCTGTCCCCACAAAGTGGGCATCCTGGTGGCCCCCAGGGAGCACACAGCTATGTTCTGGTATGGTGACAGCTGTAAAACCACTCTTCATTTTTCACAGCACAGAAGTAAGCTTGACTGGGGCTTACATCCAAGGGCCTCATCCACATATTGTACACAGCTATGTTTACATGCCTGCACTTTTCTTAGCACTCCTACAAATGCCGTGGAAATAGCACCAGTCCTACCTGTCCTTGAACAAAAGGGACAATTGATGTGAACTGGAACACCTCCTTTCCTCCACAGCCAAGGAACATTCCACCAAGAGTAACAAAGAAAAGAATCATTTGCCTAGCTATACATCATTAAATTAATTGGAGTCTTCTGTGTTCTCAGAACTGCTGCCAGCTACTCTCATCATCTCTCTGTGAAGAGGACTGAAAAACATATGATCACAGAACTTGTTTCTTCTCCCCAACATCCACACTTTGTTGTACATATACTTAAATAAGATAGATGAAAACTCTACGTAAGACAGATATGAAAACTCTATATAAGATAGATAATAAGATAGATGAAAACAAATAAGGAGCTCTTTCTCTCCTTAGCCACTGAAAGACAAAATTCTTAAATTGGCTTTAAGGATTTTCTTGGAAGATCAAAATAGTATAGATCTGGATTGAACCCCAAAAGTATACCTTGACTACACAATTCACTGTATACTCTCACTAAAATACTTCTATGAAGTTCTATGAAGAAAATGTTTCTGGTTTTGTTTGGTTTAAACTCAAACTTGTCCTACTGAGTTACTAGCTCAGTAGAAGCTTATTCTGTGGCCTTACTTTCATTATAGCAGTAATTATCAGAGAATAAAGATCATGCCATGTATCCACATATAAAAAACACTGAGATGTAATTCTAATTATATTCGTTTTTCTCTCTGTAAGTCATTTATAGGACTTCCAATTCACTTTTTGAAAAATGATTATTATTAGTCTACTATACTGAGAAAATTGAAACAAAAACTGTATTAAGCAATCAACTAAAGATTACTTGTGAAGCAAAATATGCATTTATAAGGGATATGAAGAGAATGAGCATGATTTGCCCCAGGTTACTTTTAAAATCAAATTCTTTGTCTACCAGGTCCAGAACTAAATAAGAGTTTAAACCAGGACAAATCTACCAGCATGAGCAGTTTTACTGCCCTTGTGACACTGTTCACAAGGAGGCAAACAAGCACCCAGTCGCTGGCATGACAATGTGCTACTGAGATCTTCTAGAACACACAGGAAGAAATCCCAGTGTCACTGAGTCACAGGAATTTTTCCATGAACTTCATCTATAGATATCCGTTAAATATCACAATCTCTGTTAATAAGGAAACAAAAATTTCAGGAGATCAATTGTTACTTCTCACCTTGAAATGATGGTAACAGTAACTGACTTTTACCTGTGGCTTCTAATTTTGTGGTAGCCTGAAAACATAGTTCATATCAGAATGTGTTTCAATTGAAAATATTTCTACACATACATGCACGCACAGGAGGCTACTTTTGTATATGTACACATACAGTGCCCATATGTATCAACATAAATAACGTAAATATCAACATATCAAGGAAAGCTTCCTTGCTAGACCTTGACTGATTGCCAAAGCACTATGTATTTTGATCAGTGTTCTTAATCATAACTCTTTTCTGCTGTACTCCACTGTGGGCATACCGAATGATATTTTTCATTAGTCTAAAACAGTCACAGAATCACAGCACTGTAGGGCACCTTTGGAGACCATTCAGCTCAACTCTCCTGCTAAAGCAGGGGTCTCTACAGCAGGTTGCACAGCAAAGCATCCAGACAGCCCTTGTTCATTTCCTGATGGTAAAAGAGGAATAATTTTTAGCGTGAACTGTGTTGAAGTAAATTTCTGTGAGAAAGCTACCTTTAAGTTGCATACATTTGCAAAAAGGTCACAACAACAGCTGAACAAAGCTCTGCTGTGAACTTTCTCTGAAAGCCCTCAGCCAACTCATTTCCAAGCATACAGGCACTGTAATGGCGGACATTAGAAAATATGTTGCTAAAGAGCTGTGCAAACTTCAGCAAATAAACAG